AACTCAGCAGAAGTCTCCAGCATACATCAAAACTGGCTATCAAACAAGCTTTTTCATTCTGAGGTTACTTCAGACCTCTGTGGTTAGTCCGGTCTCACCAGCAATGCCTCACAGCAATGTGAGGGGGAAAGCAAAGCTGGAATTAATTTATTGATAGTGCCCCTGCACCCTCTCCCCCTTACACACACACAGAGCATTTGTTATAGATAACTATCTAGAGTGTTGTGAAATTCTGTTGGATTAAACCCAGAGGATGGTCTCCTATGCATGCCCATAAAAATCCCTTGGGCTTACTCAAATTTCCTTTGCTGCCCCTTGAGCCAAAAACTTCTCTTCCTCCATAGTTGTGTAAAATGTTTAGCACTGTTGTACACCTGGCTGTAATCTGAGCAACATTAGAGATGGTTTCAAGTGCATATTTTGTGTGCCCACATTCTCATGGACATAATATATAAAGCACAGTGGGCTCCCACAGGATGAAAAGTGCTGTATTACAAATGCAACAGAACTCATACATGCAGCATTCTTGAACTTCTCTTGACAAATTTTCCAAAAGAAACTTTCAATGCTGAAGAGTTTCTGCTACACTTCTGCTCAGAGAATTTCCTTACATTTCCAACTCAAATACAATTCAGGTTGTTTTAATTCATAGCTGCTTCACTGACAGAATGAGAAAAGGGAAATAAAGTACAAACGGTGCGAGGAAGAAAAACAGAAAGGCTCTTAACAGATTAGAGTAAATTAGCTGCCTCTATTATTTAAAACTCTTGTAATTCCATTTTTTTGAAGTTATTAATAAAGATTGTCTCTTGGGAAGAAGAATGTAATTACCTCACTACTGCATTCACCATTCAAAAACTGATATACATTTTGTAAAAATAAAAAATAATCATATTTTGAAACTTTTCTATATAATTTTTTCAGCAGTCAGACGTTATATTCTTGGTATAAGGAAGCCCTAAAGCTCTGTTACAATTATTCTGCCATGAAGTAGTACTTTTCTTATTTTTGCCTAACACTTGATATATTCCCATGTATTTATTTTTAATAACTAACTGCAAGCAATTCTGCCAAATTTTAAAATGCTTGATATAATGGAGAATGAGGGCAGTCAGGCACAAATATGAAAAAAGGAGAAAAGTATTGAAGCAAATTAATATTAAACTTTTACAATGCATTTGTGTAAATATTTAAATCAAGAGTTACTGCAGCTGAGCAACCTTGTAAAGCATGTTCTATCATTTCATTACTGTGCTTTATAAACAGAGTTAAAATGTTTAAAACTGCTTACACAAATAAGAGGAAATAAAACTATCTACAGGAAACAAGACAGCAGCTTATTGACCATACATTGCTAGATTGACTCAAATGTCTGGTGCAGCACTTAGCCATAACACTAAGAGTATAAGCCAGAGGTTAGAATGCAAGCCTCTTTTGTTTCCTGCAATAATGCATTTTATGCTTCATAACTTTATTCAGAATCTATCCACCTTGAAGTCTCTTAAATGTCTCATGACATCTTACATGAAATTAGAATAGCACCAAAAACCATCAGCTGTGAACAGAAACAGGGAAGCAACGTATTGTTTCCATTTACAATATTATAACAATATTGTTTAAATATATATAGTTTTGCCATATATTAATATTCTCTCCCCCACACCCATCTGTTAACTAAGTTTGGACACAAAATGTTTACTTTCCTCTATAGCATAGTATAAAGTTAGATACAACAAAAATAACTATTTGAAGGGGGGAAAGGGTGTGGCTGTAATAGATTTCTAATGGTTAATTTACAGTCAGTTGGATGGAAGCCAGATAAACCAAAACACATGCCAAAAAAAATCCAGAATCTGCTATTTATTTGAGAGAGTTCGTCTGTGTGGTCTGACTTTATGTTCAAGAACTCCTCCTAAATGTTAAGAGCTAGGACCACCAAAATCAATATACAGATTCCTCTCATCATAACTTAAAACAAGGTAAAGGTTTGATTGTGCCAGAAAGGGATTGCTTTCCATCAAACCACATGGAAAAGAGAGAGAATCAGCAGGCAGGTGAAAGATGCTTGCTGGGGGCATCTACCCCCTCAATCTGGGACTGCTCCAGCCCCCGGTCTCCCACTCCCCAGAAGCCCTTTAGGAAGGGCAGGAGGATTGAACCTCCCCCCGCCCTGCCCATATCTTTGATTCATACAGAAACATTGCTGGCCATTTCACTTTGTGAGGAAGAGAGGGGAAAGTGAACAGTTCGCTGCATTCCTCACTCTGGTTGGGGAGTGCAGGGGCAGACAAATGTGGATCTACCATAGCCGGGGGACATGCACCCCTCCTCCAGCTGAGTCTGCTGGAGCTGCAGCAGCTGTGGAAAAGCACTTCTCATCTGGTCCCAAGCTTCTGTGATGAGAAAGGACTACGCCAGCCCCCTTTCTGGGGCAGCCTGAATACTGAACCCCTCATTCCCAGACCCACCCCAGAGCAATGATTTAAATGAGGCATGTATATTTTCATTTTAGTTTCCAAAAAAAATTAATCGAATAAAGGACCCGACAACATCAGTTACATCTTCAAGCTATCTAGGAAGATAGGCTTTTCCCCAACATCAGCCATACAGAATGCAATGCTATCCACAGCCTCAAAAATAAGTTTGACATTATAATAAAAGACACTGACAAAGGGGGTGCTGTAGTCATCATGAATAGGTCAGATTATGAACAGGAGATTGCGAGACAAATCACCACCACCACATTCTACAGGCCTCTTTCCTCTCATCCCACTGCAGAATACCAAAAGAAATTACATCAATGGCTCAAGAAATTCCCTGCTACAGCGTGGGACCAAATTTACACAAACACACCAACCAAGAGCCCCCATCAGGAGTATTCTACTACCCAAGATCCATAAACCTGGAAATCCCAGATGTTCCATCATCTCAGGTATTGACACCCTTACAACAGGATTATCTGGCTATACTGACCCTCTCCTCAGATCCCCAAGCTACCTGCACTCCTAGCTATCTTTGAGATGCCACTAATTCCCTGAGGAAACTACAGGGCATCAGTAATCTTCCTGAAAACACCATCCTGGCTATCATGGATGTAAAACAGCGGTGGGGAACCTCAGTCCTAGGGGCTGGATGTGGCTTCCAGCTTGCCTGGATCCGGTCCCTGAAGCTCAGGGCCCCGCCTCAGCATTGGGAAGTCCATGCTGGTGCTCCAGCTCCCCCTTCTCCCATGCTGCCCCACCACGGGACTGGAGTAGGGATGTTAAATTTTGATTAATCAACTAATTGATTAGTCAAACGAAATTCCATCAACTACTCAATTTGTCGATAAGGGGTGTGGCAGGGTGCTTGCTATTCCAGCTGCACTTCTGCCTTTTAAATGCTCACCCGGGGTTACCCACTGTGCTGCCTCTGCCTTTTAAATGTAGCAAGAGCCCTCTTTCTCCATCAGGGGCCATGGCAGCGTGGGGGATTTTTTTGCTTCTCATTTGTGTGCAGCCCCCCAACTGATTTTTCTGTGGCTCAGCAGCCCCTGACCCAAAAAAGGTTCCCCAGCCCTGATGAAGAAGCTCTTTAAATCAACATTACACATGAAGACGGACTATAAGCTGTCAGAAACACTAGCCCTTATGATGCTACTACACACGTGGTGACTGAGCTCCGTGACTTTGCCCTCAGCCACAACTGTTTCTAATTTGGGGACAATTTATATCTTCAAGTCAGCAGCAAAACTATGGGCACCTGCATTGCCCCAGATATGCCAGCATTTTTGTGGCCAACTTTGACCATTTCCTCAGCTCTCATCCCCTAGCATGCTTTGTCTACTTAGGTTATATTAATGACATCATCATATGGGCCCACAGGAAGGAGATACTTGAATTCTATAGGGATTTCAACAATTTCCACCCCACGATCAACCTCAGCCTGGACTAGTCCACATAAGAGATCCACTTCCTTGACACTATAGTACAAATAAAAGATGGTCACATAAATCCCTCCCTATATCAGAAACCTAATGACTACTATTCTTAGCTATCTGCCTCTAGCTTCCATTCATGACATGACACAATCCATTGTCTACAGCCAAGTGCTAAGATACAATCAGATTTGCTCCAATCCCACAGAGATAAAACGCCTACAAGATCTTTATCAGACATACTTAAATAACCACCTGTAGAAGTGAGGAAAGAGATTGACAGAGCCAGACAAGTACCCTGAAGTCAACTACTTCAAGAAAGGCTCAACAAGGAAAACAGAATACTACTGGTCATCACCTATGGCCCCCCAGCTTAAACCCCTCGAGTGCATCACTGACAATCTACAACTACTGCTACTGCCCAGCTACTGGGGTCAGAACTCCTCGCTGTGCTGCCTACCCCTTCAACACCTGCCCCCTTCCGACATGGGGCTCCCAGCTGAGTCAACACCCCCTCAGGCGCCATGCTCCTGCCCCCTGGCCAGATCTCCCTATGCCTTGGCTGTGTGGTCCAGGAGCATCTGTGGTCTGCCAGACCAACCTGAATATATTTTTGTTAGTTTAAGGTGCCACAGGACTACTTATTTTTGAAGTTACATATCAACAGAAGTACCTCTCTGAGACCTTTTATACTAGTTGAGAATCAGGGATGGGCTTTTAAACTCTCTCTATATAGAAAAAAGTTTTCCTGCCAGGCAACAGAAAGAGCGTGATGACATCACTGACTGCAAAAGCAAAAGAGGCCTGAGAGAAGAAGGCGGGCGAGCATCGTGAGCAGAGGGCACAATCCACTAGTAAAAGAAAAAATAAAGCATTATTACACAGAATTAGCCCACTCTCATTGCTCCTTTGAGGCGCTTGCTGCCTCTTCACAAGCTGAATTCCTGTGACACCAAATTTGTGTTGTCTAGGCATTCTTTTACATTGTATTTTCCTTCCACTACAAACAAACATAAAAAAACCCAAAACACATTTAGAATGTCTAGGCTTGTACAGCAGAACTCCGAGAGAATTAGTCTCTTACCTGATTGGTTCCTTAGTCTTCCTAAACCCATACAGATATGTGGACTTCAATAAATATACTAAAAAGCAAAGCAAACAGACAGCTACTTAGAAGCAGTAGAACACATAATTCAAACAAGCATTTATATCCAAGCTATTGTACTCTACTAGAAAATGAGGAAGAAAATAGCAGTATGTTCCCATCTGAAAAAGGAGGAAAACCTTTCAATTGCAAAAAGCACTAATTGCTAAGAACTCCTGAGCAGAGATTTTTGCATAGCAACCAAATCTTTAGGACTGTCAATACCAAAGATAATTTTTTATCATGTGACCAGCCACATCCTCTTGAGAAATAAATGCTGCCTATGGAATTGCTTTTCCAGCACAGAAACTGATGTCAGTAGAAATAGCTCTTCATTTAG